TATTTTTCTTTTTTATATTTTTCTTTTTTATATTTTTTATTTATATATATATATAGTGTGTGTGTGTTTATTTAGTTTCTATAAAGCCGCATTATTAGCTGTCCAGGTCTGCACACAGGCTGTGGGTTGAACATTCTTCTGTGCGCTGCTTGGGATTCGAATCCAAATGGCTTAACTTTGTCCATTAGCCTAGAGACTGAGTTACATAATTGTTGACCACGCCTCCTCTGACTGGGATAGTTCAGTTTTTCTTAACTCAGTCCAGCCTAAAGAGACGTAAACAATTTTCTTCTAGGACATTAGACAAATTGCGCATTATTTATTTATTTGTTTATTTTTTCCTGGATTTATTTCATGCATTTGGACTGAATATTTGTGGATTCAAGACAGTGCAAGCCGCATTGCCTGCTCGTTCCGACGGGCAGTAATTCCACAGGGCTAGATTTCGCTCCCGTTGGTGCTTCGGCAGCTTCCCTTGAGGCTCTTGCGGCTGGGGGAACCAGCGCATTGAAGGAATTGCAGCAGCTAGCTGCCGTGGATGTGAGTCGGTTCGCCGTTCTCCATTCCCGCAGGTGCCGCGGTGAGAGTAGGTTCGCCTTGACATTTTCAGGGCGCTCTGTCGCTATGTGAAATGCACTGCGTCATTCAGAAGGTCGGAGGCGCTGTTCGTGTCTTTTCAGCCATCATCCATGGGGTAGAAGGTGTCCTCACATGCAATCGGATGCTGGTTGAAAGCGTGTATCACCCTTGCCTACGACAGTCAATCCGACCGGTTCCCAGACGCATCACTCCCCATTTCACCAGGAGTGCTGCTACCACGGCGGCCTGGGCGATGCAGGCCTCAGCGGAGGAGATCTGCAGGGCGGCGACTTGGTCATCACAGTCACCCTTTGTCAGACATTATAAAGTGGACATGTATGCCTCGGCAGAGGCTTCCTTTGGGCGGCAAGACTTGCAGAGTGTTCTTTCACCACCTAGGGCCCCTGACCAGCCTAGCTCCCGCCCTTGACACTCATTGCTTTGGCATGTCCCATGCTTGGATTCCCCAAGCAGCGCACAGGAGAACGACCGTTGACTTACCTGAACGGTCCTTCTATGTGTGCTGCGAGGGGAATCCAAACCCGGCCCGCAGCTTCGGCTGGCCAGGGCTGTCATGACTTTGGACTAGACTAACTATTCACTGACTTGTGACTTTGACTATGACTGACTTTACCTAGTTGTGACTTGTGTTTCTGACATGTTTGTATACTGTTGGGCTACGGCCATCACTTGTTATTGTTATTGTTATACATCATTAACCAGCTGACTTCGTACAAAACT